CCGTCAGAGTCTTGGAGCGCGAGAGAACGAAAAACATAGAAAAAACTACCGGAAATCAAGGATGTGGGCCTCTTCGGGCCGTCTTGGAACGCCTTGGGGCCTCCCGCTCCCGCTCTGTGGCCCAGCTTGGGCCTGTCCTGGGGCTCTCTTGGGCCGTCTGAGGCTCCTCCTAAGCAATTTTCGGGCTCCCTGGGGCCGTCTTGGGGCTCTGTTGGGGGCCTCTTCGGCGGTCTTGGGGCGGTCTTGGGGGCGTCTTCGGCCGTCCTGGAGCGTCGGAAGGTCGACGAAAACGCAAGAAACCGAAAAACATAAAAAACAATGCACGTCAATGGTTTGGGCCTCTTCGGGCTCTCACGGGACGCCTCTCGGAGCTCTCTTGAGCCCTCTTGGAGGCCTCTTGGGCTGTGCATTTGCGGTCTGGAGCCCATCTTGAGCCACGTTGGGGCTATCTGGGCCGTCATGGAGGGGCTTGTCGAAGTCCCCCAGGGGCTTCTGGGAGCGTCCTGGAGCTCTCTGGGGCAGTCTGGGGGCCCCGGTCCTCCCATGCGCGCTCGAGGCCCGGGCCCTGGGCGCCCGGGCCTCGGGCGCGGGGATATATATATATATATATATATATATATATATATATATATATATATATATATAGAGAGATATATATAGATACGTGTGTATGTATATGCATGTATGTCTGTGTGTATGTATGTATGTATAGATCTTTGTATATAGCATATATGTATGTGTATATGTGTGTATAAATATAGATATGCTTGGCAATTGCCGCGATCTGATCCAGGGCTTCCTGTCTGATGCAACTGTTGACAGCCGCAGCCGCATCCTTCACAGACCAGAACTGGCTGCGGCCCCCACGATGAACATCCGACAGCGAAACAACCGCATTTTCAGACAGAGGGGAAACGAGGACGCCACAACATCGGCGGATGCGGTCGTGACACGATTGCGCTTGCATCCGGCGCGTGGGGGCCACTTCTGGATGGGGAAAGCTCGGGCAGTGCTTCTAGCGATCTTTGAAATTCTGCCAACCTCTGAAGCATGGTGCTGGCGCGACACAGGGGCGACGGAGCACTCTTGAAACTTGTCGGCAAGCGTGCATCTCACCCTGCGTACCTCTCTCCAGGCCGAAAGAAACTCGCCTGGCGCTTGTCTGCGAGACCCCAATAGCAGGAACGGCATTTCGGGGGGGGGGGGGGGACAAATGCAAAGACTGAGACCAGCTGACCGCGCGCCACCATCTAGGCGCGACGCTCAGGCAAACAGATGCCGCTCAAAAGCGGACCTGTCTCTAAGCTCGCCTGGAGGCATGCGAGTGGTTGACCTGCTGCAATGCGCGGGGCTGTGAACCCTGGCGCACTCATAATTACTTGTCTACTGCCTGGGCGCAATCAACCACGCATCGCCGAACATGGCGATTGGGCGTAGCAATGTTTGGAGAACGTTCCAAACCCGCTTGGGGCAATCTTCGATCGCGCGCCTGAACCTCCCTTTGCACTTGGGGCCATGAGCCCGTCCTCGCCAACCCTTGGCTAACTGGCGAGGAGCCCCTAGAAAGGCTGAACAATGGGTAAAAGAAAACGCATATGGACCAGGTGGTGGTAAGGCCTCTTGATGATCCGGTCTACGGCGTCGCTGACGCGCGAGCCCAAACTGAACAGCAAGCAACCCCTGGGAACAGCGATGTAACCCATCCTTCCCGCAGGGAAGAAGCTTTGCGGGGAGGGCCACGTCTTCGCCTACAAGGGGGTTGCCGCTAAACGTGGAGGGGCGCGCTAGAGAATGGGAAATGCGACCCGTGGGAACGGCGTCCCTGAAAATTCCCCGCCCTCATCCCTGCAGGCCCAACTGACTGTGACTGCACCGAGCCAACCGTGCGGTTAGCATCAATGAAAAGAAATGCGCATGGCGCACGCTGCCTGGTCGGCCTCAAGTGAGAAGCTAGCACCTACCACTCATCTGAGATCTCGGCAGGGCCATGCTTCGAATGAGGCGCGCGTGCAACGCAGACCGTGAGCAACTGATCTCGAATCGCCACGTTATCAGCACGGTAGGCAGGGCAACCACTACCACGACCATGCTGCGAGAGGCACAAGAGTCCGAGAGGGCTGCGATGAATGGGAGGGACCCGTGCAAACGCGGAATAACTGTGAGATCCCCGCGGTGTCCTAGGCCCATAGGGGTAACATAAAATCCCTAACCTGGGCCCAGCCCTCATGCGGGATACGTGACTCAGCGGCGCCTCTTACATGTCATCGCTGCTGAGCAAACTGAGCCGAATGCGAACAGCACGACCTAATGCACCTTGCCTGTCCTGGTGGCTTGAAACGACAAAACATCGTCGAATCCTAGTCGGAACTTGAGCTGGGCGTTCAGCCTGGACTTGTCCAATCCTGCTGAATGGGACAAAGGATAGTCGCTCCCGTTACCCATGAGGTTCGTCCAGTGGGAGATAGCCAATTCGGGGCTTCCGTCGCAACAATCACGTTGCCCTCTGGCAGAGCAGGAAAGTAAACGCGATAATCAAGCTCGAACTGATCGAGCCACGCCAACGACGCAACGAGGGAATCCTGGACCCAAGGGCGCCATGGGCAATACTCAGGGGCACAAGTGTGTTCATGAAAAGCAAGCAAGTGCGGCCAGGAGCCCACTAGCTCGTGGAAGGCTTAAACTCGTGACACGTGATTGTGACCGCGCTGGAAAGGAAAAAGCTTCTCCCCGGCAACAAGTTTGAAAGAGGCGCGTAGAGCAAGGATGTTTCCTTGAATATGAAGCACAATGGCCTCTCCTGGAGCTCTACTGAACAAGGTGAAATTCTCAGTGGAAAGTTCAACTGACAGGGTTGTAGACTGGCATGCCCAGGATACAGCCAACTGCATAGCAACCACCTCCGACCACAGACTGCGATGAGTTGGGCCCATATTCATATCCTCCGCATCTGAACCCACGCTGCCTGCAGTCCAACCCCCGAAGACTGCCTTCGGTCTGTCAGAACAACGGCAAAAGCCCAAGAGGGGGGATTGGCTTTAGATTCTTTTGACCCGCCAGCGAAGATGTTAGCTGATATGGGGTGGATGGGGGGGTGCCATTGGGGGAGAAAGTTCTCCAGAGCTGACGGCGGACGGGAAGAAGAACTGCTCGAACTGCGTCCCCAAAGTGCTTACGGTAGTCGGCCGACTCCCCTTAACGGACAAACCTAAGGGGCCAGCCTCGACACGCGTTGACTGTACTGTGGCATAAGAGGGCTGGCCACTCTCGCCCGTAGCGCACGGGTGCGATCCGATGGGAAGGCGCTCTTCATCCTCCTCCAAGACCTCTGCTTGTGGAGTAACTGGCGCAGGTGCCTCTCAAGACGCCGCTCCAGCCGCGTTCCCACGCTGGCAAGGAGATCTCTCCCTCCCTCTCGGTGGTGATCCCCTTCTTGGCGAGGGATCTGGCTCCTGCCTACGAGGAGGAACGATTGGCCCTTGGGCCCGCTGCCCGCCATCCAGCGGCGCGGCCACAAGGGCGGCAACGGTCGGACGCGCAACCGAGGCAGCTGCGTCTGCTGGGAGAGCCTCGCCGACTGGCCTTGTCATGGCCACGACGAGGGCCTCGTGACGGGCTGAAGCATTCGAAAGCTACGATGACAAACTGGCAGCCGTACAATCATCCCTCTGCTGGTAGGTGACGAGATTGTTAGTGATGGAGCGAACTGCTGCTGAAGGGCCGTCATGTACGCCATCTGCGCTGCTGCCATCTGTCGAACCAGCTGCTGCGCCGCATGCTGCTGATGCGTTGGCGATCCACGGCATGGCGGCGGCGAGCGAGCCTGCGCCCTTGCCCTCCCCGGGCCTGACGCGGCTCTGCTCCAACCCCCGCATCGGCCATAGCATCTACGCCCTCTGCATCTGCATGCTCGTCCTGGCCTGACATTTCGCTTGATGGTAGGAACGCTTGCAACTGAGCCCATGCCCAGCATACCTCTCCTCCCACTGAGATGCCAAATTCCGTTGATCGAGAAGCTAATCTAACTCCGCCTCCTTCTGCTGAGTGGCCGACCATGTACTTATGCGTGACATGAGCACAAACCAATGCGGAAAACTGCCGATCGACTTGTTCCTGCAAGGGCCTGCTAAGATGTATGGAAATGATAATGACCACCATCATATTTCCTCCTCTGCCGAGTCCCAAGTGTCTTTCTTCATCCGATTGTTGGTTGGTAGTGTTTTGAGCTCCAAACGTCGCTTGCGCATATGCGAAGAACGTTCTGCTTTGGGTGCATGTTGTGGAAGCTCTCTTGGAAATCGATGATGGTATCGCGCCAACTCTGTCAGGGCTGGAAGAATGTGGAGTGGCTCGTTCACTGCTGAATCTTATCCTTAGACCTGCTCCACTCCGAAAGTGACTGGGGCGGCCGGCGGCTGAGAACGACGACCCCTTCGACGAGCACCTTGGTGCCTTGGTGTTGCTGCTTCCCCGACTCCTGCTTGATCCAAGGAGCCCGGGAATACGAAGTTGATTATTTCTGCCGATTACCTTTGCCACCACTTCCTTGGGCCTGTACACGCTGGCAAACCCGAAAGGATGAACGCGAAGAGAAGTTTATCACACCACATTGTCTGCATGTCCACTTGTCCACGAAAGGCTGTTGAGCAGAATGATTTAGCGTTAGTCTCTCCTTCGCTTGAGCAGGTTCTACGAAGAACCTGTCGTCAACACGTCTCTGTCTACCTGGGATGCCACGCAAAACCTGAATCATCATGGCTAGCCGCTTTCGGCCGGCACGCTAGGTTCCGTATGGGGGAACGTGTACCAAAGGTATGTAAAAAGGACCCCCCCGCCTCTTCCACCGCAAGGGCAAGACCTGAAACGGGAAATGGAAATGGCGGGCGTCTCGCGCAAGGAGCCTTAGAAGAGGAAAGGAAAAGGGGAGGCGGCGGGAGAAGGCAACCAGGAGCGGTATGCGCGGCGAGACATTTGCCCGCAAGCGAGCATTGGCCCCCCGCAGCCTTCGCTTAGCACGCTGCTGCTGTCGCTGAACACCTCGAACACGTCGCACGCGAACACGCCAGTTCGCCTCACGGCCTGCGGAAATTAGGATCAGCCAACATCGAATCGGAAAATCGGATCGAATCAACTCGAATCAATCGGCATCACATCGGGAAATCATGACCAATCAGCATTGACCCGCAATACGTCTGATCGAGCCGCATCGGCACGGAGTCAGAAGAGGGTCGGATCGGACGGGCCAGGACGCAAAACTACGCCATGCGAACATCGGGCCGCATCGGATCGTCAAAGTACCGGGATCTTAGAGGATGCAGTGGAAAAATCAAGGACAGCATACATGCTTCGAAGACCCTCGTGGATTTCTTAGATCGGGACTGGACACACCTCGCTGGCGCGCGCAGCGTGCCGAGGGCGGCGCCGGGGGCGCCGCCAGGAGGGCTCAGCGTAGATCCAAGAAGCTCGAGTGGATATCCTAGAATCTATGTTTTGTTGCCGTTTCTCCGTCGTCGCGAGTGGATCCCCTGGCACTGCACAACTATAAGCGCTGTCACCGCCACAGATGGCAACCAGCACCGCCACCGCCGTGGCCCCCGCAACCCTCCACGCCAGGCCAGAGGCAGGGGGTGGCTGCGTGCACATCGTTCGCGTGTGCTGTTGATCATTTCTTGCTAATTGCGGTTGCGCTTTAGGTGGCTGCAAGAAGCGTGATGCGCGACAGAGTGCTTCAAGCACTGAGTGGAATGCCCTCAGGTCCCTTCGATCTCTGTGGATTGAGGATACTGGCAAACCTATGTTCCCATGATTCCCGGGCACGGCCAGGCGTGGCCGCGCGCTCCTCTGGTTTGTCGCACGCGTCTCCTGAAGGCTTTGGGAGCGTGGTCCCAAGACGGCCCCGAGGGACCGTCCTGGGGCTCGCCGAGGGGCCCCTTGGGCCATTTCGGATGCCGTCGGGGCCGGCCCAAGAGGCGGAAGTGATTGAAAAGCATTTGGTTGTTGATGTTCGCAAATTCGCCTTTTTCGGTCTCGAGAGCGCCCAAAACGACACAAGAGGCCCGCAAGAGAGCCCCAAGCGACCCCCCGAGGCACCCTAGACGAAGGGGGAACCTCGAAGGGGTTTTCGGGGGCTCTCCGCAAAATGCCCCCGAGACCGCCTCGAGACCCCCCCAAAAAGACGCCCAAGAGGCCGGCCGGCTCCTGGCGAGACCCCAATAGGCATCTGAGATTATCTACGACCTAGGCACGGTGGCCAGATGGGCCGAAGACCACTCCATCCGCCGCCCCCTGTGGCTTGCCACAGGTATGCACGGCGTGCTAGACGTCTGGAAGGTTTTTGGTTCTTTCCGAAAACACTTCCCTTGGGCTTTGGCCCAGCCCGCCGGCCACCGGGCCCGGAAAAGGCGGGAGGCACGGGCTTCCCGCCCGAGATGGCTCCAAGATGGCTTCCAAGACGGCCGAGATGGCCCAAGATGGCCTTCAAGACGGTCCCGAGACGCCTCCAAGACGGCCCAAGATGCCCCAAAGACGCCACAAGCGGGCTCCCAAAGCATTTCCAGGAGGCCAAAATCCTTGATGTTCGAGGGTTTTTCAATCATTTTAGCGTTCTCGCCTGTTCGGGCTTCCGACGCAGCAAGACGGGCCCAGGGGCGCCCAAGATCGCCCCAAGACGGCCCAGAGAGGCCCTCAATACGACCTCCGAAGGCGCAAGTGGGCCCAAGAGCACTCTAAGACGGCCCCGGGAAACCCAAAGATGGCCCAAGGGAGGCCCAAGAGGCCCCGAAGAAGGCCCCAAAGGCGCCCCAAGACAGCCCCAAGAAGGCGCAGAAAGCCCCTCCCCCGGTGGTTTACATACAGACAGTTGGGTAGAACACGCAGTCCACTATCGTGGTCGCACTTTCGCTCGACGTATCGCGACGTGAGCGCTTTCGAAAGGCAGGGGGGCGGCGGTGACTCGAAGTGAAAGTATTCGAATACAGCCCACTGCAATCATGCTTCGCGTTTTCAGAATTATGTCAAAATAAACGTTCGGTCAGGAACTTTTGCTTAGCGTGTCGCGGCGACGGCACCTGGCTTGGGATTTAACGTGCTCAGCTGGTGGCGCCGAAGCGTGATGGACCAGGACCAGCGGCGCGACAGGCTAGGCAAGCATCCGAACTGTTGCACGATCCGACAGAATCGGAAACCAGCCTGTGACCCTCAGCGAGAGAGAAAGAGAGAGAGAGAGAGTGGTCCACGAGAGAGCCACCTTCCCTGCGTGTTCTCAACGCTTCCCGATAATCGCTCGGATTCGAACTCCCCTGGGTGGGAGCCCTTTGGGGAGTGGGCCCGCTGAGAGCTAGAGGCCGACCGAGAGCGGCAGGGGGTCTTCACCTGTTCACGAGGAGGTTGACGAGGTTGGTGGCGATGAGAATGGCGATCGATGAAGATTACGAGGTTGGGCATGGGCGAGCGTGAGGACCAGGCAGACGACGAGACCAAAGAAAGATCGAAGGGCGGAGTGGTGACGAAGAGGGCGCAGATGAAGGCGCGAAGAGAGCGAAGATGGCGCGGGACGGCAGGAGGGTGAGGACGAGAGTGACGACGACGAGTGTGGGCGAGGGTGAGAGCGAAGATGAGGATCGGCGGGGGCAGTGAGGATGAAGAAGAGGACAAGGGTGGCAAAGCGAGCGAGATAAAGGGATGGTGAGGAGGCGGCGGTGAGGATGGGCTCCTGCGCGCGGTGGCTCAGAGGCAACAAGAGCCCAACTTAGCAGAGGCACGCGGAGCAGAGGGCGGCGGCCGCGGCCGCGGCGACTGGAGCTCGCGCGCCTGGCAGCGCACGAGGTCCGCCTCTTAGGAGCGGGGGCCCGGACCGATCCAGCGCGCCCTCGTCCCTCAATGTTCAATCCTCCTCCTCTTTCTCATCCACCTCATCCTCCTCCTCCTTCCCCTCCTCCCCCTCCTCATCATCCGACTTCGCCTCCGCCGCCTCCGCCTCCGCCTCCCCCTCCGCATCCTCCTCCTCCTCCTCCGCCTCGGCCTCCACCACCTCCTCCGCCTCGCTCCCCATTCTTCACTCCTTCCTCCTCACTCCTCACTCCCACCTCACTCCTACTCCTCACTTCTCACTCCTCCTTCTCTTCATCTTCCTCCTCCTCCCCCTCCTCCTCCTCCGTCCCCTTTCTTTAGAAACAACTCCTCCACGTCGCGCACCCGGGCGTGTCGGCAGAGCGGGCCGGGCGTTTCGCCTGACACTTCCTCGTCACTTATGATTCTGAAGCATGAAATTTGCAACATTTTCGGATATTCGGAGATATGGAAAGGGAATCTGTTGCAACAGCACTCGCCTTAGCGCCGGGCGCGATATTCCTCAAAGTTTGCAGCAGCTTTATTTCGCTCTCGATGTTTGATATCGCCTTCGCATCGCGCACATGTGTGCTAAAAGTTTGCCACAACTTCGCCGATGCAGGGGGTTCGTTTTCGAAATGTTGCTCTCGCTGGCATGCCGCGCACATTTGTTACGTGTAAGCGTTTCCACCAGCTTCACGGATGGAGGACGGTTCCTTTTCAAAATGGGATTTTCGTCCCAACGCCGCACGCATTCGTATTTTCTTAAAACAACTGCGTCGTTTAGCAGAATGGAATACTGTTTTCAAGGAGCTATCGGCTGATACGTCAAAGAATCGAACGACCCGGAACTTCAACGACCGCAGCGCTGCTCGGATCCATGGCGGTTCCTTTTCAACATGTCGCCTGAACCCCCCACCCGAAATTCATGATCACAAGGGTTAACGCGTGCAATCGTCACACGGATGGGGCGGCGGTCCTTCTTCGACATGGGGATGTCGCTGGACACTTCGATGTTTGTTTTCCAGCGTTCCTGACTGCGCGCCAGCACTATTTTTCCCGGCAGAGCAGCTCACACCGACCCAGTAGCTTACTCGCCGTGAGGTGGACCCCAGGACCCTGTCCGAGCAGACTCTCGCTCCCGCGTGACGGCCACGCTCGACGCTGCTAAGCCTGGCCGTGGCGGAGACAGTTCAAAAACCCAGCCGTCTGCGTTGGCGCAGGTGCTTATCAAGGAAAGGAGGAGGAGGAAGAGGAGGAGGAGGATGAAGAGGAGGAGGAGGAGAAGGGGAGGCGGAGACGAGAGCAGCCGTAGGCGCCGTGTGTGCATCGATCCCCAGCTGGTACCGACGACCACTTATACAATGAGGCCACACACAACGAATAAAAGCAGGAAGGCGCGCAGCGCAAAGCAGTTGAATCAAAAGCCCACGCGTCGACGCGGCTGACAGGAAGCATCCCCAGAATCCGATCAAGACAAGAGCGGAAGCGGGAGGAGGAAGGGGGCGACAGGCGCGGGGGGAGCGGAGCCGAACAGGAGGGGAAACAAACGTTGGGTGGACACACGCGCCAAGAAATGAAAGGTCGGATAAGAGGGGCACGACGGCGCCCGGCACGGAAGCGCTGCTCCACAGCGGCTGGAGGGCGAGCCTGCGCTAAAGAGCGGCACAGAGTCGGCCAGCAACGGCCGCAGAACATCTGCGCGCCATGCCCGCGCAGGCGGTGGCATCCCAACCACCAAGTCGGGGCTGGAGGGAGGGGCGACAAGGGGGAGGGAGAACAGGAGGGGCAGTGGGCCGCTCACGCGGCGACGGTGCTGGCGTCGATGCTGCTGAAGTCGGTGCTGGGGTCGGAGGGGTCGTTGGCATCGATGCTGGAGTCGGCGCTGGCGCCGATGTTGATGCAAATCGTCTGTGTGGGGGGGGCAGGATTTGTCCGCCTCCGTTTGGCTGCACAAGTAGTACAGCTAGATGCCCTGCTGCTACTCCTGGCGGTGATGTTTCTGGTCGTGGTGGCTGTTCCTCGTTGCGGTCGTGGTGGCTGTTCGCGGTCGTGGTGGCTGTTTCTGGTCGTGGTCGTGGTGGCTGATCGTGGTCGCAGCGGGCGCAACGCCGCGTCATGAACACCTCCATGTGTCACGGAATGCCCCCTTCCTGGATGGACGCTGGCGCGTCGCCGTGATGGTCGTGGACGTGGTCGTGATGGCTTTTCTGGTCGCGAAGGCTGTTTCTGAACGTGGTCGTGGTGGCTGTTCGTGGTCGTGGTGGCTGTGTGTGGTCGTGGTCGTGGTGGCTGTTCGTGGTCGTGGTGGCTGTTTCTTGTCTTGGTGCCTGTTCCTCGTCGTGGTCGTGATGGCTGCTCGTGGTCGTGGTGGCTGTTTCTCATCGTGGTCTTGGTGGCTGATCGTGGTCGTGGCGGGTGCAACCCCGCATCATGAACACCTCCATGTGTCACGGGATACCCTCTTCCTGGATGGACGCCGGCTGGTCGTGGGTGCAACTCCGCACCACGGACACCTCCAAATGTCACGGAATACCCCCTTCCTGGGTGGACGTCGGCGCGTCGCCGTGATGGTCGCGGGCGTGGTCGTGATGGCTGTTTCTGGTCATGTAGGCTTGTTTTGGTCGTGGTCGTGGTGGGTGTTCGTGGTCGTGGCAATTTCTTGTCGTGGTGGCTGCTCCTCGTCGTGGACTTGGTGGCTGTTCGCGGTCGTGGTGGCTGTTTCTGGTCGGGGTGGCTGTTCGTGGTCGTGGTGGGTGCAATCCCGCATCATGGACACCTCCATGTGTCACGGAATATCCCCTTCCTGGGTGGACGCCGGCGCGTCGCCGTGATGGTCGTGGACGCGGTCGTGATGGCTGTTTCTGGCGGTGTAGGCTGTTTTTGGTCGTGGTCGTGGTGGCTGTTTCTGAACGTGGTGGCTGTGTCTGGTCCTGGTCGTGGTGGCTGTTCGTGGTCGTGGTGGCTGTTTCTGGTCGTGGTGTCTGTTCCTCGTCGTGGTCGTAGTGGCTGTCCGTGGGAGTGGTGGCTGTTTCTGGTCCTGGTCGTGGTGGCTGTTCGCGGGCGTGATGGGTGCAACACCACATCATAGACACTGATGTGTCGCCGCGATGGGTCGTGGGGGTGGTCGTGATAGCTGTGACGCTGCAACTCCGCCACGCGGTACTCCCAATTGCGATGCTCGCAAGTGCCGCCAAGACGCTCATGCAAATGTACTGGTAATCGGGGGAGGCCGCGGCGCCCACGGCGAACAGGACGAACGTGTTCGGCGGCATTCGGGTTTTGAGAGCTCGCGCGACTATTCCCCCACGTGGCACTCACAGTTGTACTGTTTGCAATTGTCGTCAGGACGCTGTTGCGACATGTACTGGTAATCTGGGGGGGGGGGGGGCGCGGCGCCCTCGGCGAGCAAAACGAACGTGTGTGGAGGCATCCGGGGTTTGAACAGCTCACGCTGCAGCTCCCGCGCGTGGTATTCCCAGTTGTGCTGTTCGCAAGTGTCGCCAGGACGCTGATGCACAAGTATTGGTAGTCTGGGGAGGCCGCGGCGCCCTCAGCAAACAAGACGAACGTGTGTGGCGACGCACACCATGGCGCTAGTGAGTGCGCTGTTGATGCTGCTGTTGCTGCTGCTGCTGCTGCTGCTGCTGCTGCAAGTGCTGCTGCTGCAACTGCTGCGGCTGCTGCTGTGGATGTGCATGCAAAGCCTTTGCGAGAAAACCTACAGGAAGATGATGTGGTGGCACGGGAACTGGCATAAGCTCGGAAGATATCGCGGCACTTGTCGTGCGAATCATGGTGTGTGGCGTGTAACGCGGGGGAAGGAGGCGAGGTCGAGGCCGTAATCGTTCTGAGACGCCAGATCAATCTGCGATTAACGGCGCCGACGGGAAAGTGCAAAACATAGTAGTCGAAGATGGGGACCCAAACAGTGACGCCGTTGCCATGCCGCACGATTCCGTTAGTTCCACTCGCGCGCTGCATCGTAGATGCGTTCCGCCCAAGAGTGCCCCCGAACCATCTCCCTGCAAGGTTGGCGCAAGGCCTCCCTGGCGGCTGGGCCTGGGACCGTGTGAGGTGTACGCCGACATGGGGGTGGAACTGCATGCGAACTTTGCCACAAAGGCCTGGGGTGGAGCTTACTATGGGGCCAAGAACCGTGAAGGGTGCGCCGAAAGAGGGGTGGAACTGGATGCGAACTTTGCCACAAAAGCATTCGGCGGAACTCCCAATGGGGCCACGAACCGTGTGAGGGGTGGGCGCGCCGAAGTGAGAAGGGAGCTGCATGCGAACTTTGCCACTGGGGCCTGCGGTGGGGCTCCCTATTGGGCCACGAACCGTGTGAGGGGTGTGCTAGAATGAGGGTGGAACCGCATGCGAACTTTTGCCACTGGGGCCTTCGGTGGAGCTGCATATGGGGCCACGAAACGTGCAAGCGGTGTGCCAAAATGGGAGTGGAGCCGCATGCGAACTTTGCCAGTGGGGCCTTCGGTAGGGCTCCCTATGGGACCACGAACCGTGTGAGGGGTGTGCTAGAATGAGGGTGGAACCGCATGAAATCTTTGTTACAGGGGCCTTCGGTGGAGCTCCGTATGGGGCCACGAAACGTGCAAGGGGTGTGCCAAAAGGGGAATGGAGCCGCATGCGAATTTTGCTACTGGGGCCTTCGGTTGGAGCGCCACGAAACGTGTGAGGGGGGGGCGACATGGGGTGGAACCGCATACGACCTTTGCCACTGGGGCCTTCGGTGGAGCTCCCTATGGGGCAACGAAACGTGTGAGGGGTGCACCGGAATGGGGTGGAACCGTATGCAAATTTTGCCACGGGGGCCTTCGGAGGAGCTCCCTATGGGGCCACGAAACGTGTGAGTGGTGCTCCGGCAGAAGGATGGAACTGCATACAAACTTGGCCATTGGCCCAACGGCCCAATGGCATTGGGGACTTCGATGGAGCTCCCACTGGGGCCACGAACCGTGTGAAGGGAGCGCCGAAATTGGGGGGGA